GGACCAGGCCCCCAGCAGACCCTCTGCTCAGCTCAGCATATTTAAAAAGTGAGGTTCAATAGCATTTTGGGTAAACTTGTAAATATTTTGGTAAACAACCTGGGCATAAGACTGAGAGTTTTATGAAGCCTAAATACAGATCAAATGCTTTCGGCAGAAACTGGAATGTGCTGAGGTATAAAAGCTCTGTGAAGGAGTAAAGGGTGTCTTTAACAGATTTTTACATGGATGACGCACTGGAGTGAGAATTCTCCAGATGCACTGGGATAAGACGTAGACGTAGGCTGCTGAAGTTGATGCTGCACACAGTGAATATCAGCGAGCCACGAGGAGGATGACATGCTTGAAGCAGCTAGAGATGGGAGTGGACCTTGGCCTTGTGCTGTGCGTGCTGGGCACGAAAGGTCAGGTAAGTTCTGTGTGTGATGGGTCCAGGATGGGCGCATTCATGGAGGCAGAAGACACATTAGCAGCCACCAGGGCCAGAGCAGGTGGGGTTGGTGATGACAGTGGAAGGAGTTGGGGTCTCTTTTGAGGTGACAGAAATGCCCCAGGGTTTGGAGCACTGGCATTGCGACCTAGCAGGTGGGATTGGCACAACACCTGGCCCACACTGAAGGCTGGAATTGGACATTTATCAGGGTGGCTCAGACTCACAGCCAGACTCCCCCTGCGCCCTGGGCTGCTCTCTACCCCTTGGGGTGCTGCTCCCCTTTCTCAGCAGCCAGTGCTGGACAGTTGGCACCATCTGGGAATGTGATCAGAGGCACCGGGGTCCAGCTAAGCAGTCGGGCTGGAGTTCCCCTCTCCTGCACGGATCGGGCTTACTGTGCTGTGAGAAGCCTCTGCAGACACCATTGTCCATCCTCCCACTCAGTCTTAATCCCAGCCCAGGGCCACCATGACTCCATGACACCCTTGGGGGAGGCTCCAGCACCTCCCTGCTGTCCCCATTCACAAGAAGGTGTCTGTGTGTGGCCACACCCCATAAGGCTGCAGAGACCACAGTTTAGGGTCTCTCCCATAGACCATGGCCTGGGAAGGTTTGAGGCAACTTGAAGTAAAAAGTCTGTTTTGCCTTTCTAGATGAAATGTGAAGACCCCACACCCAACAAGCCAGTCTGCACACTCTGACTCCTCAGTGGGCCAGATGGTCTTTTCTACACCTATAATTTCCCAGGAAATTGTGACAGCTGAATTTGCATGATGTAGCTCCAAATGGAATTTGCAAAATGCGTGTGCGCCTGGGTTTGGATGTGGGAATAATTCCTTCATCTAGTCACATCAGGAAGGGTAGAAGCAGCCAGCCCGTCCTCATGAATGAAGGCAGGGCTCAGGAAGTACTTTCTAGATGAAGGGATGGGTGGGTGGATGCAGAACAGGTGGAGGGAGGGAGGGAGGGAGGGAGGTTGTGGGCGGAGCCTGGATGGCTGGAGGGAGCTTGAGGGATGATGGAGGACTGAATGGAGGGGGAGAGGGGAGGGTCCACGGTGCAGGAAGAAAGGATGGCTGGATGCATGAGTAGAGGGACAGCCCCAGTTTTGGTCATCCCTGGGACCCTGGCTGTGGATGCGGGGCCCTGAGCCCAGCAGCGAGCCTTGGGTGTGGTTGGGGAGACAGGGCTAGGACATCACCTGGTGCAGCTGCGTGGTTCTCCGGGGGCCGGGTAGGGTGACAGTATGGGGGTCTGGGTGTGCCTCAAGAGCCCCTAAGCCCACGGCACACAAAGGGGGACTATGTCCTCCCTGCTGTCTGCCAATGCTGGGAGGGCAGAGCTGGGCTGCCATCCATTGGATTTCCCCTGTCAGCTGCCCTTGCGACCCTGCCATCACCTCACCTTGAGCAAGTCGCTCAGCTGGACGCATTGCAGAAGACGCCCTGGGTGCAAATCCTGCCTCTGTAGGCTGTGACCTTGAACAGGCCAATCTTTGGTGGGCAGGGTCGGCCTGTGGGCAGGGCTGGCCTGTGGGCAGAGCAGAGCCTGTGGGGATGGGCAGGTGGAGCTGCAGGTGGGTTAGACCGGGAGTGTGAAACAGGCTCTGATGCCCCTGTGGGTGCTGGTGACACTGAGGATGGGGCGACATTAACTCCTCTGTGGCTCCAGTGCTGCCTGGTCCCTGCTGCTCCTGGGCACTCAGCCTCCTGCCACACTGCACCTGCTGAGCCCAGGGATGTGGCAGGTAGGTGGGTGCTGAGCCCCCCCTCTCCTGCCCCATCCGCATGTCACAGCCAAGCCCATGCTCAGAACAGAGTCTCTGCCCTGACTCTTCATTGGGTCACATCTGTGTCACCGAGGAGCCTCCCAGGACTCTGTGGGCCCACAGCTCGAGGGACTATCCCCAAGGTCCAAATCGGGAGCTGGGGACCAGGGAGGCCTTGTGATGGCCTGGACTCCTGACTGAGCCACTCTCCAGGCCACCTGGACTCTGGGACAGGTTGCTGGAAGGGCCCTAAACGCAGCCTAACCACAGAATCAAGCTGCAGGTTCTCTGGCTCCTGCACTGCAGAAAACAAATTAAGAGACGTGAAGGGATTCAGCAGGCAGAAATTTAAAGTATGTGCTCAAAACCACAGAGTGCGGGCCAGAAAGAGAGGGACACATGGAGACCCAGAGAGAGAGAGAGACAGAGACAGAGGGAGAGAGGTAACAGAGACAGAGACACAGAGAGACAGAGACACAGAGAGACAGACAAAGAGATAGACAGAGACAGAGAGACAGAGATAGAGGGAGAGAGATAATAGAGACAGACACACAGAGACAGACAGAGACACAGAGAGACAGACAGAGAGAGACAGAGACAAACGGGAGAGAGATACAGAGACAGAGACAAGCTGAGACTGACAGCAGAGAGAGACAGACTGAGACTCAGAGAAACAGAGACAGAGGGAGAAAGATAACAGAGACAGAGAGACAGACACAGAGAGACAGACAGAGACACAGAGAGACAGAGAGACAGACACAGAGAGAGACAGAACGGAGACAGAGAGACAGAGACAGGAGAGAGTTAGTAGAGACAGACACAGAGAGACAAACAGACAGCAGAGACAGAGAGAGACAAACAGACAGCAGAGACAGACACAGACAGTGATCCAGAGAGAGAGAGAGAGAGAGAGAGAGAGAGAGAGAGAGAGCAGAGACAGAGACACAGATGGAGACAGACAGAGATAGGGTCAGAGAGAGAGACAGACAACAGAGACAGAGATAGAGATAGCAGAGAGACACAAAGAGAGACAGAGAGGGAGAGAGATAGACAGCAGAGACACACACACACACACACACACACACAGGGACAGGGACACACAGGGACACAGAGATTTGTGATCCGAGCTGTGTGAATTCCTGGGGTGCAGTGTCCCCAAGGTGGGTGATCTAGGATGTGTCCTGCTGTCAGGTCACTGGTCTGGAAAACAAACCATTCGCCTCATGGGGCACAGATACTGGGGCTTTCTTGCAGGGAGGCCTGGGGGAGAAAGTGTCACAGGTGAAAAGCACAGCCCCAGAGCCCCATTCTCAGGCTGATGGCATCTTCCACGGAGGACCTTTTTTTTTTTTTTTTTTTGAGAATTTCCCCAAAGGGAAAAAGGCTTGGATAAGTTCCATGTCAAGTACAAATTTAAAATCTCGGTTTTCCTCGCCTCCTTTCTATTCTTATTTTTTCTGTTTTATCTCGGGACCCCAGCGCAGCCCTTCCAGCCTGGGCCTCTCTTCCCTGAGGTCCACCAGGGGGCGGCAGAGGAGCGTCCGCGGCGGCACCTGCGACCTCTCAGGCGGTTGTGGGAGGCCAAGGGCAGCGCGGCCCGGGGCGCCCTGGGGAGACACACGCTGGGGGGCTGTCAGGCAGGACCAGGCCAGGCCACTGGAGTCTGGGGCGGGGGATGGGTGCTGTCCCAGGAGCCCGCTTAAGGCTTAGCTGGGCTCACTCTTGGGCCCTCGAATTCACAGGAAGATGCTAGGGGGCAAGGGGCAGGGTGCCTACACCCTCATCTTCTCCTACATCCTAATAATAGAGGGTCCTCTCAACTGTCTCCCCAAGGCACGCCCTTCCCTGCTCGTTAGCAAAGATGACCACTTGTCCCATGTGGCCCCTTCGCTACCCAAGTCCTGGACTGGCTCCCTCCTTCTGCCTCGGTGCACAAAGCGGGTTGTGGCAAGGACAGCGCGCGGGGGACCCCTCTCTTCTTACAAGCGAGCAAAGGCTACCAGCCAGCCAGAGGCCCGCCCAGGCAGCCTGGGGTAGAGGTTGGGGCGTCCTCCCAGTATGCTCACCGTGCAAAGAGGCCCAGTGGTCACTCTCCCAAGGAGCCCCCCTAGTAGAAGGGCTGGGACCTACCTGGTCCCCAGTCCCCCGCCCCACTGGATCATGTGGTGCCAGTCACAAGAGCTGCCGTTTGTCTGGTGCATCCCCTCCCAGGGTGGCGCGCTGCCCCAGGACAGTCCTCGCTGTTCTCCTAGAGGAGTGGCGTCTCTGTCCCGCTCCCTGTCACCCAGATGACAAATTCCGCGTCTGACCTAGCTTTGCCCACCGTAGTCAGGAATCCGGCCTGGAGGAGTCCTGCTTGCCCTGGGTAGCGTAGAGGACGGGAAGCGGGTTCTGGAGAGACCAGAGCCACATGTCGCCGGGCTCGAGTTACCCCGTCAGGCAGTCGGATGGGCCCGGCCGCGTTCGCTCTCCCGGTTTGTCCTTCCGGAAGGGCCACTGGAGGACACCCCGAGCAACAAGGGCCTCTCCTGAGGTCTGACGATACGTCGTGGGGGAGTTGTCCAGGGACAACGACTGACCACTGAGACGAAGGGCACCCCGAATCTCCGCGCTCCGGGGCGAGAGGCCAGGGTCCCCGCCCGCCAGCCTGCCGACCCGCGCCGCAACTCCGCCCCGCTAACTTTGGCGGGCGGAGTGGGGCAGGAAGTGAGGGCGGGGCCTGGGTTGCGAGGCGGGGCCAGGGATCAGGGGCCCCGCCCTCTCCCCGCCCAGCTGTGGCCGCGCCCCCCATTCTCGCTCTCCCCCACCCCGGCGCCCGGGAGCCGCAGAGTCTCAGAGCTAAGCGGAGCTGCGGGCCGCGGAACAAAGCGGAGGAGCGAGGCGACCCGTGGCCTTTGTCTTGGCGGGGCGGGGCGGGTGTGGCCGCGGGGCCCCGGAGCGCAGAATGCCGAGCACAGCCGGGCAGGCCAGGGAGCGCGGTGACGGCGGGCGGCGCGGAGCCTGGCCCGGGGCCCGCGTGGACTCGCGCGCCTGAAGGGCGACCCGGCGGCCGCACGTGGGCGGGAGCCGCTGGCCGGCGGGCGCGGAGCGGAGCAGCACCAGCAGCAGCAACAGGGAAGGAGGAGTAGGAGGAGAAGGAGGAGGAGGAGGAGGAGGAGGAGGAGGAGGGACGCGCGGCGGCGCAGCGGGGACCCGGGCGCGCGCGAAGCCCCGCCCCGCCCCGGCCGAGCCCCGCGCGGGCGGGATGCCCCGCGGCCACCGCACTCGGGCCGGAGCGCCGCGCTGAGCCGCCACCCGCGCGCCATGGAGCAGTGGCGGCAGTGTGGCCGCTGGCTCATCGACTGCAAGGTCCTGCCGCCCAACCACCGGGTCGTGTGGCCCTCGGCTGTGGTCTTCGACCTGGCGCAGGCGCTGCGCGACGGAGTCCTGCTGTGCCAGCTGCTGCATAACCTGTCCCCTGGCTCTATCGACCTCAAGGACATCAACTTCCGGCCGCAGATGTCCCAGGTGAGGGTCGGCGCACGGGCCAGAGACCGGGGGCCGGCTGGGAACTCGCGGGTGGCCGGCGCGCGGGAGATGGAGTGCCCGGCCTCGGCCGGCTCTTCGAGCGGCGACGCCAGAGGCGCGAAGTTGGGCAAAGTCCTTCGGCCCGTAGCGCGCCGGTTCCCTGGTCTGCGCCTCTGGACGTGGACAGACTTCGGCCTGGGGTGCGCCCGGCACTGCGCCCCCTTCTGGTCCCGAGCGTGTGGCCCCGCCGGTGTCCTTCGCGCCTCCGGGAGCTCTCTGAACCAGTGGCCCTGGGCTCCCTGTCTGGTGGACCGGGCCGGCGGGGACCGAGCGGCGCGCACACAGCGAACACATCGCGGCGCGCGGAAGGGGCCTGGCGGGGCGGGGTCCTCGGGATTGGGGTGCTGGAGGGAGCGGGGTGCAACCCCCGTCTTGGCCTCGCCCCCTCCTGGCCAGGGCTGGGGGCAAGCCGACCCTGTGGGGAGACCCCAACGTTTCCTTAAGTGTGGCCTTTGTCGCGGCAGAGGCACGCGGTGGCCGCAGGGCCAGGGAGGAAAATGTCCGCTCCGATGGCCGCAGCTGCTTTTCTGGCCCCTTAAACGGAACTTGGGTGAGAGAGTTGGGCGGAATTGGGGCTTGTGGGCTCCTGCCTAGCACGCTTTGAAGGGGTCCTGGGAGGCAAAGGGGGATCAGCCGCAGCCTCAGCCCAGCCCGTATGACGAGGCGTACCCTGCCCCCGGGGTGGGTGGCCCCTGCCCCGGCACCCATAGCGAGCCCGAGTGGACAGCGGCCATTCTGGTAGACTTCGGGAATGAAGTGAGTCACCCTGGATCCTGCAGCTCTGGCGGCGCTGGCCTTTGCCCTTCTTGGTGTCTGCCTTCCTGGGCGGGTAGGGATCTGCTTCGGGGTGGACGACAAAGGGGAGCCCGGCGGGGGAGGGGAAAGGCACCGCCGTGCAGGGATGGTAGTTCAGGACTCTGATTCCCTGCTGAGAGCCTCTAGGCAGAGGCTCGGTGACAGCATGGGGTCGAGTGCCTTGGTGGCACTGTGTTGGCTCCTCTGACCGTCCTTACAGCTGGGGAGACTTGCCCCAGTGTGGCAGGAGCTAGAGCAGCTGCCCGCAGCACAGCTGGGCACTGACCCTGAGGAGGCTGGGGCAGGCAGAGGTGGAGTGGGTGGAGGTTGGGAGGAGCTCAGCCTGGCCTGGAGGCCAGACGGGGGCCCCTCCCAAGCTGAGATTGTGTGCTGGGAGGAGGAGAGGGAGGAGAAGGAGGAGGGGACCCTGGCAGTGGCAGGAGGCTCAGCTCTTTCCTGTGCTAGAAGTTCCAGCCAGAGACATCTGAGGTGGCAGGAATCAGCACCAACACTGTCCCCTCGAGCCCCAGCCTGGCCCTAGTGGAGGGGTGTTAAGGGGGGCTAGAGAGACTCAGGAGTGTGGCCATGGGGCTACTTGCTGTCATTAGTTGGATGCTGTCTGTCAGCTCCCATCTGGGAGGCAAAACCTTCAGGGCCTCAGTTTTCCATGTGTGGCTGTGACAGTTTTGGTAGCTGTGTGTTTGCTTAGGGAAGGCACCCAGTGTCCTTGGATATTGGCTGGATGCTGGCATGTGCCACCCTTGTGGTTGCTGCCTGACCTCATCCTCTGTCCTCTTGTCTTGCATTGAGGGCAGAGTTGGTCACATAGATCTCTGTATGTCCTTCGCCGGATCAGACAGCAGCAGGTGACCAGGGTGGGTCAGATGGCTCCATCTGCACACTCACAACTACAGACAACTTCCTGGGCCACAGGTGGCTGCGCGGAGCTGGCTGAGGGAGCTCACGCCTCTCTGGCTGGCTGCCCTGGGCCGTGTGACAAACCCACATTTCTTTAGGGGGAGGGAAGGTGTCAGATGTTGTCTCTGTCCACTGTGGATGGGTCACACAAGGAAAACACAGCTGCCCTCTCACCTGTGCTTCCTGGATGCTGCACGGTCTCACAGGAGGGAGTGCCACTCCGGTTTGCAGATGGTGCAGGTAGAGCGTAGTTTGAGTGACTTACCCTAGCTCAACCCGTAGTTAAGTGGCAAAGCTAACAGAGGGGCCTCCTGGGATGCTGAAATAAATCCCAGTGCCAGGCGCCTTCCTGAGCTGCATCTCGCTCTGCTGGCTTTCTGTCATTTGTGGTTCCTGTCTGTTTCCTGGGGAAGCTGGGGCAGGAGGGGCACCTGGGGTGCTCTGCAGGGGTCCTCTTGGGGACACACCTGGCTGCCCCTTTCTCCCTGCCTTGCTGGTGCACAGGGACCCACTGGTGCAGCCCCAAGGCCCGTGATGTGTTACCTGCTGGAAGGCCACTTGGCTTCCCACAGTGACTTCCTGTTTCCTGAGGGCTCGGAGTTCCCCGGCTGAGTTGATCTCAGCTGGCTGATCAGCCTCAAGGAACTGAGAGCGATGTGCCGATCTGAGCAGCTGCTGCGTGCAGATCTGGGACCAGGGGCCGGGCACTGAGAGCCCGCTTTGTTGTGCCCTCCTGAGCCAGCAGGATGCTCTTTCTTTTATTCAGAGTGCCTGGAAGCCACCTTGGGCTTAATTAAACTAATTAGGGCTGGCCACAATCTGCTGATCCTAAGAAAGGCCCAGTGCATCCAGGGTGCCTGTGCCAGCAGCCAGCCCTTGTGTTTGCCCTGTGCTGGCCACTTTGGGGCATGGCCAGCTTGGTCATGCCCACATCACCGTGGTGTCCTCTGCCCACAGGACAAACAGTGGACTGGGCTCATAGCCTGCCCTTTGGCTGACCCTCCAGTGTCCCCTTATGTGTCCCTTTTCCACCCCTGGCTGTCATGTGCAGTGTCCTAATGGAAAGATCTCCCCGCTTCCAGCCTGGTTCTTCCTGGGGAGATGGCTTAGGGTCCCTCCTCCAGGAAGCCTCCCCAGATTTCTCTCTCAGGCCTCCTTCTGGGCTCTGGACATGCCAGCTTTGCATTTGCCTGCCTTGTCCCCTCATACACACCTACCATGTGCTCAGCTGAGCTCAGGAACTGTGTTGTCTGGAGCCAGCAGGAAGGAGGATGCTATGTCCTCTGTGGTCGCCGGGGTCCTGCAGAGCCTGGCCCTGCTATGGGGGTACTCTTCTGTCCTCTGTTCCTAACTTCCAGGACCAACTCCTGAGCCCCCACCAGTGCCACCCAGAGGGTGATCGCAGGCAGCCTTTGGGTACAGAGGGTGACCAAGTGTAAGTGGGAGGCTCCTCCTGGCCTAAGTTCACGAAGGGGTTCTGGGGTGCAGAGGAGACCAAGAAAGGCCGATTCCCAGGGCAGTGAGGAACCTTTTCTTTTGGGGATAGATTTTTTTTTCTTTAATTTGCAAACACCTTGGGCTTCTGGCAAGGTTCTCACACAGACAACTTTCTCTTGAGCCATTTGCAGGTAAGTTGGCAGTTCCTCGTGCTGCGCCTAAATGTGTCACGTGCTCCCTGCAGGTGAGGGTCTGTCTCTGTGACTATGGCTTGGCCATCAGAATCCAGTGTTGACAGCCATGGGTGACCTGCCAGTTTCCTGTCATCCTGCTTCTCCCTTGTTTGCTGCCAGTCTATCTCTGCCTTTCTTGATTTCTGTGACCTTGACACTGTGGAAGGTCATGGACTCTGTTGTAGTGTGTGTGTGTGTGTGTGTGTCCCCGCTTTGGGATTGTGGAGAGACCCCGATGCTTCCCTGTGGTTAGATTCGGGCTGTCACCTGCAGGGAGGGCGCCATGCTGCGTCCTTTTCTTGGAACCTCAGCTGGTGGCCCAAGGGTTAGGTTTGTTGTGTTGCTGGAAGATGGATTTAGCCAGACTTCATCTTTAGAACATCTTCCAGGTGCTTTGAGAGGACGTTAGCCCGCTGTCTCCCTGCCTCTCCCTTTCCCTTCCCTCCTCTGTCTCTGCCTTTTCCCTCCCTCCTTCCTCTTTTACTTTCTTTCCCCTCCCAGTTGAGACCATGTTTCCTGTTTTATTCCACGGGTGTGATCTGTCACTGTCCCCACTTATCTCGGGTACAGTTGCCTCCGGGCTGGCCCGTGGGAACTGCCCTGGCTGCCCTGGCCCATCCAGTGCCTGCCCGGCCCTTGCTGACCTCTGACCAGGCTCTCTGTCTGTTTGTCTGTGTCCCAGCTCGGAAACCAGCTGTCTCTACCAAGCTGCTGGCTTGGCAGTTGGAGGGGCATTTGAGGTTGGACAAGGGGTGCTCAGGGCTCCTGGCTTGTTCCCCTCTCAGTGGCACACCAGGCAGTGAGTATATGTGTGTCCGAGTGTGCACACATGGGTGTGTCTGTGACACATGTGTCCACATATACCATGTATATGCTTGTTTCTCATTCATATTGATGCTGCCAAACAGAGACATAACGTGCCTGTATCTAACCTTAGAAATTCTGGAGCCAAATATGGGGATGAGGACTCGGACCTGTAATCTCAGCTACTTGGGAGGCTGAGGCAGGAGGATCACAAGTTTGAGGATCACTGAGCAACTGAGATCCTTTTGTGAAATTAAAAAACAAACTAAAAGGGTCAGGGCTGTAGCTCAGGGTAGAACATTTGCCTGGCGTGTGTGAGGGCCTTGTGTGCTGCCAAGAAAGAAAAAATTCTAGTGTTTGTATTAAAAAAGTAAGACTGTATAATACTGATCTTAACAGCGTATTTAAACCAGTACGGTCTAGACCCTCAGGAGATGCAAACCAGATTTTTTTTTTGAGACAGGTTCTCGCTGTGTAGTGCAGGCTGGTCTTGAACTCACTTTGCTCAGGCTGATCTTGAACTGGAGTTAATCCTCCTGCCTCAGCCTCCCCAGTGCTGGGATTACAGGTGTGTGCCACTGTGTGCAGTGAAAATTAGCTCTTTTGGGGTGCAGAGATCTCAGTCTTTTTACGGGAAGAGCACGGGCGTAACATGTCCAGTACCAGATGTACACGCACACGGCTGCAGTGTTGCCATGTCACAAGGGGAAGGTGGTTAGGATGCCTGTCTGAAGAGGCTTCTTTGGGGACAGT